AGGAGAGCTTGTCCGCAGACGTATCGCGGACAAAAGCTCGAGATCCCCAGACCCGAAAGCGTGACGCATCGCCAACCTCTCCCGTCCAACGCAGTGTCGGCGAAGTCTCCGGAACGGAGACACGGGGCCAGAGGTTGAGCTGATGCGCAGCGTATCGGACTGCAAACGGCCACAGAAAGTGGGGGGCAGCCGCATGGATCAAGGAGGTACGAGCGACCTCCATGACCAAGCCAATGTGGCGCTCAGCAACCCCATTCTGTTGTGGAGAGGCCGGAAGCGTGAACGACTGGCGGATGCCGTGCTCCGCACAGTAGGCTGCCAAGAGATCGGAGGAGAACTCACCACCTCTGTCAGAGTGCAAGCGCAGGACAGGAAAGTCCGAGTGGAAACGCTCGCTGAGCTGGAGACGAGAAGCGCTGATCCAAGGGATCAAAACATCAGGGACCTCACCCTTGGTGCGCAAGGGGAAGACCGTGGTGTAGCGCGAGTAGTCGTCAACAACTATCAGGAAGTACCTCTCCTGACCCTGACCACGGACGCGGGCTAGGCCCCACACGTCCATGTGGAGCGTCTGCAAGGGAGCAGTCGTCGGGGGAAACGAGGAGGAGTGAGGAGCGGCGCGCTGCCGCCCCTCGACACAGGGAAGACAGGGAGGAGCAGGCGAGGGTGGGAGGGGAGGGAGAACCCTGGGAAGACCAGAGACAAGGTACCGTTTGTGCATGGCACGAAGGCGCTGCACGGACGGGTGACCAAGTCGGTGGTGCCAGAGGACGGTCTCGTGCGCCAGAGAGCGACACGAGCAGGGGGGCGACAGCTGACCTGACGCAGACACAGACGCAGCTACCTGAGGGGACGCAGTGGTCAGTGTGTACAGGTCCGACCCCGGCTGCCGAGTGAAGGTAGCCAGGTGGCGACCCGTCCGAGCGCACGTGCAGTGTGTCACGCGCTCGTAGGCAGGGGTAAACTGGTGAACACCCTCGTCCTGAAGCGCACTACCCGCCACCAAGTTCGTAGAGAACGAGGGGAGGTAGAGACCTGACAGCGTGCCCGACGGGACCGCAGGACAAGGGAGGACAGTGGAGGAGGTCGCAATGACCGGACCCCCAGAGGGGTCAGCGAGGGAGACTGCAACCGGCCGAGCAAGCTGCTCAAGGGCCGTGCGGTCACGAAAGAAACAGCGGGAAGCACCGGAGTCCAGTGTGAAGGTGTGCAGTGCCGCAGTAGACGCAGTACCAGCAGGTGCGAACGCACGAGTACCTGGGGCAGCAGACTCACCAGCACCTAGAGCAGCAGCCTCACGAGGACCTAGGGCAGCAGACGCACTATCACCTAGAGCGGCAGCCACACCAGTACCTAGAGCAGCAGACTGGATACCGGGGTCAGGCGGTACACACAGGGGACAGGCACTCTCAGTACTAGTAGACAATGCATACATGGCAGTGAGGATAGCATCAGAGTCAAGAGCAAAGATATCTACCCTCTGCCTAAGCAGCTCCACCCAGGAGGGGAGCTCAGCGGCGTCACCAAACTCTGTACGCCAAGCGTCGCCCAGACGGGCGAAGCAGTGGGACTCTGTGTGGCCACGGGTCCCGCAAGGCTGACCAGTCCGGACACCTGTGCGAATGACGTACGGGCAGCGAGCAGTACTCAGTGACCCTCTACTCTGAGCGTACCACTCACGGAGCTGCTGGGGCGAAAGAGGACACGGCAGCTGCACCTGTCCACTACCAGAAGCGCCCGAACGACCCACTCCAGAACGACTACCACTACGGCCACCCCGACAGCCCCAACTAGCGTACCACTCACGAAGCTGCTGGGGCGTGAGGGACTCACGCGCATGGCCCTGGAGCTGCATCTGGCCACGCCAGGAGTAGTAGTAGCAGCAGTAGCGGCAGTAACAGCAGTAACAGCAGGAGCAGTAGCAGTGGGAGTGGAAAAGGCAGTAGCAACAGTAGCAGCGGTAGCAGTGCGGGCAGGGCAATGCTCACCAGTGGTCGGCGCGGCAGGCGCAAGACGGTGGCGACAGCGGGGCCGCTACAACTGCAGGGCGGGGCCGGGCCGCAGCAGGGAGCTCCGCAGCAGCTGCTGCAGGGCGGGGCCGGGCCGCGACGGCAGCTGCTCCAGGGGCCAGGGGCGGCTGCTGCAGTGGCGGCTGCTCCAGGGGCTAGGGGCGGCTGCTGCAGCAGCGGCTGCTCCAGGGGTCAGGGGCGGCTGCTGCAGGGGCGACTGCTCCAGGGGCGAGGGGCGGCTCCTGCAGTGGCGGCTGCTCCAGTGGCCAGGGGCGGCTGCTGCAGGGGCTGCTGCTCCAGGAGCCAGGGGCGGCTGCTGCAGGGGCGGCTGCTCCAGAGGCCAGGCGCGGATTAGGTCAGGGCGACGCGGCGAGCAGGGGCGACGCCACGGGCAGGTGACGACGCGGCGGGCAGGTGGCGACGCGGCGGGCAGGGCGACGCGGCGGGCAGGTGGCGACGCCGCGGGCAGGGCGACGCGGCGAGCAGGTGACGACGCCGCGAGCAGGGCGACGCGGCGGGCAGGTGGCGACGCCGCGGGCAGGGCTACGCGGCGAGCAGGTGACGACGCCGCGGGCAGGGCGACGCGGCGGGCGGGTGGCGACGCCGCGGACAGGTGGCGACGTCGCGGGTAGGCGACGACGCCGCGGGCAGGGGCTACGCCGCGGGCAGGTGACGACGCCGCGGGCAGGGCGACGCGGCGGGCAGGTGGCGACGCCGCGGGCAGATGGCGACGCCGCGGGCAGGCGGCGACGCCGCGGTCAGGGCGACGCGGCGGGCGGCGAGAGCCTGCAGGGGCGGCGCGCGGTCGGGCAGAGGCTGCGCGCGGGCCTGACGGGTCGGCAGGGGCGGCTCTCGGGCCTGACGGGTCTGCAGGGGCGGCTCGAGGGCCTGACGGGTCTGCAGGGGCGGCTCTCGGGCCTGACGGGCCTGCAGAGGCGGCTCGGGGGGGGCCTGACGGGTCTGCAGAGGCGGCTCGGGGGCCTGACGGACCTGCAGGGGCGGCTCGAGGGCCGTACTAGCTTGTAGGAGGCAGCGCGAGGGCTACAGGACGGCACTCGGGCAGACCGAAGGGCGGGGCGCGCGAGGGCGCACGAGCAGAGAAAAGCGCACGAGGGCGCACGAGGGCGCATCTAGCGGAATAGTGGGCCCGTAGTAGAAAGCGGTCCTAGGTAGCAACCTAGGCTCGTGATACCATGTTAGAATCTAGAATAGAACGAGAATGGATGAAACTAGGTAGGAGGGGGATACAAGTAGGAAACCCTAACAAAGCTGTACCCCCTAAGGCTAAACCCACTATAGCCTACACAATATAAACATATAATGTTTGACAAAACCCGCCCCCGTTTAACCCGAGTGACAAGTTTGTCACTGTTTCTGCATGGTTGTTCGGTGTGGAGGTGTTTTTTAATGCTGCTATGATTTATGACGATGTCACCCGCATTAATTTCGCAGTTTCACTGTTGCGAGGACCTGCGCTGGAGTGGTGGAGGCGAACGCTGCAGCACGAAGGGACTTCGGCAGGAATAGCACGTGCGAACGACGGGACTTCAACACCTGTCACGCATCAGGCAGCATCGATTTTTGGGACGGCCACGATACGCACATGGAAGGAGTGGGGCGCCGCCTTGCGAACCAGATTCGAGCACATATCCGCCTCGGACTCTGCTCGCATGCAGCTGCGTACCTGGAAGCAGCTGACTTCAGTCCAAGACTACACTAGCAAATTCTGCAACTTGGCGGACCAGGTGGACGACATGAGCGATGCGGAGCGGTTGGATCGCTACGTGGCGGGCCTGAAATACGAGATACAGTACGAGGTCCGACGAACCCGGCCACGCAACTTCAACGACGCTGTCCGGGAAGCCGAGTCAACGGATGCGCTGATGCAGTGGGCGAGATTGAGCTCCCGGGAGGGCCCTCGATTTCGTGGACCGACTCAGCAGCCCACGATCAACGGCGTGGATGCACCTAGCCGAGCCCTTGGGCCGTGCTTTTTATGCAACCAGCTGGGCCACCTGAAAAAAGACTGCCCGAGGCTTAAGCAGGGGAAGAAGAACGACGGAGAAGGGTCGGGAAAAGATACGAGTCAGTAGCAGACGGGCCACCTACTGCTCCATTGACGAGTTAGTCTGAGCCACACTGGCTGACACGACTGCTCTATCTTGCCGTGAATGGCATGAGAGCAAGGAGGGAGGGATGAAGCATGGGATCAGCTGCAACTTTTACAATTACAAGGCACGTACCTGCTCCATTGACGAGTTGGTCTGAGCCACACTGGCTGACGCGACTGCTCTATCTCGCCGAGAATGGCACGAGAGCATGGAGGGAGAGATGGAGTATGGTGGCATCAGCTGCACCCTTAACACTTACAAGCCACTCACACACAGGAGCATGGAGGCACGCACCTGCTGCGTGGATGTGTGTTGGTCTGGGCCATACTTTTGAGTCGACTCAAAAGTCAACTCCATGGATGTGTGTTGGTATGGGCCATACTTTTGAGTCGACTCAAAAGTCAACTCCATGGATGTGTGTTGGTCCGGGCCACACTTTTGAGTTGACTCCAAAGTCAACTCCATGGATGTGTGTTGGTCTGGGCCATACTTTTGAGTCGACTCAAAAGTCAACTCCATGGATGTATGTTGGTCTGGGCCATACTTTTGAGTCGACTCAAAAGTCAACTCCATGGATGTGTGTTGGTCCGGGCCACACTTTTGAGTTGACTCCAAAGTCAACTCCATGGATGTGTGTTGGTCTGGGCCATACTTTTGAGTCGACTCAAAAGTCAACTCCATGGATGTGTGTTGGTCTGGGCCACACTTTTGAGTCGACTCAAAAGTCAACTCCATGGATGTGTGTTGGTCTGGGCCACACTTTTGAGTTGACTCCAAAGTCAACTCCATGGATGTGTGTTGGTCTGGGCCATACTTTTGAGTCGACTCAAAAGTCAACTCCATGGATGTGTGTTGGTCTGGGCCACACTTTTGAGTCGACTCAAAAGTCAACTCCATGGATGTGTGTTGGTCTGGGCCACACTTTTGAGTTGACTCCAAAGTCAACTCCATGGAGGCACATGAAATGGAAGCACTTACCTGCCTGCGCAGGAGGGATGAGGCACCACCACTAACCTGCTCCATGGACGAGTTGGTCCGGGCCACACTCGCTGACCTGACGACACGGCTCGCAGCTGCTCGATCTTGCTTCAAGGAGGCACAAGGACATGGGAAGCACGCACCTGCCTGCGCCAGCATGCATTCTTACGCACGCACGCACCTGCTCCATTGATGAATTGGTCTGCGCCACGCTGGCTGACGAGACTGCTCGCAGCTGCTCGATCTTGCCTCTCAACTCCATGTCTGCCCCGCCGCTTGCCTGCTCCATCTGGAAAAAGGGGGCAGCGAAGGGGGGAGGGAGGGGAGGGACGGGAACGGGGTACGAGGGGAGAGGGTGGTGTGGATAGCAGCTCCTCGATCTTGCCTCTCCACTCCATGTCTGCCCCGCCGCTTGCCTGCTCCATCTGGAAAAAGGGGGCAGCGAAGGGGGGAGGGAGGGGAGGGACGGGAACGGGGTACGAGGGGAGAGGGTGGTGTGGATAGCAGCTCCTCGATCTTGCCTCTCCACTCCATGTCTGCCCCGCCGCTTGCCTGCTCCATCTGGAAAAAGGGGGCAGCGAAGGGGGGAGGGAGGGGAGGGACGGGAACGGGGTACGAGGGGAGAGGGTGGTGTGGATAGCAGCTCCTCGATCTTGCCTCTCCACTCCATGTCTGCCCCGCCGCTTGCCTGCTCCATCTGGAAAAAGGGGGCAGCGAAGGGGGGAGGGAGGGGAGGGACGGGAACGGGGTACGAGGGGAGAGGGTGGTGTGGATAGCAGCTCCTCGATCTTGCCTCTCCACTCCATGTCTGCCCCGCCGCTTGCCTGCTCCATCTGTCGAAAGAGAGGAGGGGAGGGGAGGGGAGCGGAGGAGAGGGGAGGGGAGAAGGGAGATAAATGGGGAGGGTGGTGGTGTCGATGGTGGATCCTCCATTTCGCCTCTCCACTCCATGTCTGCCCCGCCACTTGCCAGCTCCATCTGGAGAAAGAGAGGAGGGGAGGGGAGCGGAGCGGAGGAGAGGGGAGGGGGGAAGGGAGATAAATGGGGAGGGTGGTGGTGTCCATGGTGGATCCTCCATTTCGCCTCTCAGCTCCATGTCAGCCCTGCCGCTTGCCAGCTCCATCTAGTGAAAGAGAGGAGGGAGGGGATGGGAGGGGAGAGGGGAAGGGAGACGAGTGGGGAGGGTGGTGGTGTGGATGGTAGCTCGAACGGAACGGAACCCCCTCGATCTTGCCTCCCCACTCCATGTCTGCCCCGCTGCTTGCTAGCTCCATGTGGAACAGAGGGGAGAAGGATGGAAGGGGAATGGGAGGGGAGAGGGTGGTGCGAACAGAAGCCCCTCGATCTTGCCTCCCCACTCCATGTCTGCCCCGCAGCTTGAGCCGACTCAAAACGAGCCTAGTTTTGAGTTGACTCAAAGTGGGGAGGGTGGTGGTGTGGATGGTAGCTCGAACGGAACCCCCTCGATCTTGCCTCTCAATTCCATGTCTGCCCCGCCACTTGCCAGCTCCATGTGGAAAAAGGGGGCAGCGAAGGGGGAAGGGAGGGAGGGGAGGGACGGGAACGGGGTATGAGGGGAGAGGGTGGTGTGAACGGAACCCCCTCGATATTGCCTCTCAACCCCATGTCTGCGCCGCTGCTTGCTAGCTCCAAGTGGAGAAACGAGGAGGGGAGGAGAGAGGGGTATGAGAGGGAAGGAGAGTGGGAGGGAGGAGGAGGAACAGGGTATGAGGGGAGAGGGTGGTGTGGACGGTGCCTCCTCCATCTTGCCTCTCAGCTCCATGTCTGCGCCGCCGCTTGCCAGCTCAAAAAAGGAGAAGGATGGAAGGGGAATGAGAGGGGAGGGTGGTGTGGAGGGTGGCTCCTCGATCTAGCCTCTCAATTCGAGGTCCACGCCCCCACTTGCCAGCTCCATCCGGAGAAAACGAAGAAGAGAATGCGAGGAGGATAGAGGGCAGTTCAGAAAAGTTTTCCTTCCCCCCTCCCCCCTCCCCCTCCCTCCCCACTCCCCCCTCCCCCCTGCCCCCTCCCCCCTCCCCCCTGCCCCCTCCCCCCTGCCCCCTCTCCCCTGCCCCCTCCCCCCTCTCCCCTCTCCCCTCTCCCCTCTCCCCTCTCCCCTCTCCCCTCTCCCCTCTCCCCTCTCCCCTCTCCCCTCTCCCCTCTCCCCTCTCCCCTCTCCCCTCTCCCCTCTCCCCTCTCCCCTCTCCCCTCTCCCCTCTCCCCTCTCCCCTCTCCCCTCTCCCCTCTCCCCTCTCCCCTCTCCCCTCTCCCCTCTCCCCTCTCCCCTCTCCCCTCTCCCCTCTCCCCTCTCCCCTCTCCCCTCCCCACTCCCCCCTCCCCACTCCCTCCTCCCCACTCCCCCCTCCCCACTCATCCTTCCCCACTCCCCCCTCCACCCCCGCAGGTCGACTTAAGGGAACGAGGAGGAGACGGAAGGAGTGAGCATATTCGCGAAATCCAGGCGAACCAAAAAGCCTATTTGTGGGTCGACTCTGAAGAGAAACTGACACGTCACCTCTGAAGAGCCTAGCTGCGGGCTTGTTCAGAACAGAGCAAGGCCTTTCGGAGTAGGTTGTTTTCGGTCTGAGAATGAGCATTTGGAATACTCTGAAAACGCTGACCTTGTACACAAAGCTATCTTCTGCGAGCTTCGCAAAGCAAGCGAACGCCCGACGATGCGACGTTTGAGTGGACTTTGAGGATTTCCAACTCTTTGGAGCGCTGACCTCGTTTACGCTTCTGCGAGCTTCGCAAGGCAAGCGAAGGCTGTGCGATGCGACTTTTGAGTCAGCCAAACAAGTCTACTCAAAAGTCATCCGTTAAACGCTGACCTCGTTTACCAGACCCAGAGCCTGCAAAGCAAGCGACGTCCGCGCGTGACAATCAGGTAATCGTTTTCGCCTTTTTGGGCGCCTCAAAAGTCGCCATATTTGACTTTTCAACGCCCATTTCGATGAAATGAAAGCGAGCACCCGACATAAAGCGCATCTCGATAAAGCACTCTCTTCGTTACAATGCTCACTTCGATAAAAGGCTCACATCGTTAACGATCGCCGAAATCGAACACCTCGACGAATCGTTCATCTCAAGATAACGGTCAGTTCGATACAAGGCTCACGTCGTTAACGATCGCCGCGAGAAAATCGAACACCTCCGCGCCGTCGTCATTATTGCCGACCGCGGGTCCCCGCGACCCCCCTGCTGCTGTTGGCCGACCCATCGCGCGGAAAAAAAGCGGACAGGGGAGGCTGAATGCGGGAGAACCAGGACAGAAAAGTTGAATTGCCGGGGGAAATCTCGACTACGGACAAACTTAGATAGAATCCCAGGGATGTCCAGGCAACAAAAGCGCAGAAAGCGCAGAAACCATGTTTGAGGAAGGCAGATGCGGCAGAACGCCCAGCGGTCAGAACCTGTGCTGGCACGGACTTGCAGGTGAAGGCAACCTGGAGATTTGCTCAAAACCTTCCATCAAGTGTAAGAAGAGAAATGTGCATGATAGATGCAATGCAGGCATGTGTAAAACGAGTACGACTACGTTCAGCATACACAAAATCGCAGCAACCCATGGGCAAAACGTACGTCCGCGAGAACTAACGAACGGTTACAAGGCTCTGCTGCTTTCGCCAAAACATGGCACCCCACGGGATAAGGGTGCGGAGAGGTGAGTAGCAGTTCCAATAGGTGAATCCTTCCAACTCGTTTAGACCGTACAGCACCGTACGCTAAAGTCGTCTACCGAACCGAAACATTTTTTAATCAGCATGGTGCTCCTTCGCCCACAAATCCCATCAACCCCGCCGAATGCCATTTATTCCGCTTCGTCCATCGTCTCGCGTCCCTTTTCTCGCCTGTCTGTGCCTTCTCGTCGCTCGCCCTTCAATTCCGCGCGTGTTCATCGTCTCCATTTAACGGTTCCGATTCAACGGCAGGCGCATCTGTCGTTTCGCTCATCCCTTGGTTCCATCTGTCTCGTCTTCCGTCTCCCGCGCGCGATTTTGTGCGACGAGTCGTCATCGTCCGCGAATCTGCATCGGCCCTTCCTCTTCCACACCTTGTAAGTTCTATATACTACCAGCTCTTTTAATAGTAGTTGTATACTCATATACATTTCCTTCGTACTACCCTATCGTCGTCCCTCGTCTATTTGTTTTTCCCGCCAATTTCGCCACCTACTCCGCTTGCTGCAACAATTCGCGCGCAGATATTCTGATTTTTAAAAAATAATGGGTTCCGTCGATCCGATAGGCAGGCCGGTGGGGTTTCGGCTCGGTTTCCTGATTCGTACCTCTATCATCTCTTTTTCGAGTCGCACTTTCTTACTCTCCCTCTTGCCTTCCTCCTCTCTTGCTCTCTAGCCGCCCCAACGTCCTCTTCTCCTCTTCACCTTGTCCAGCTTTGAAACCTGCTCCCTTGCTCTCCTCCCTTTGTCTCCTCTCTGCCATCTCCCTTGGTCTCCTCTCTTTGTCTCGTGCTCTGGAACCTGCTCCCTTGGTCTCCTCCCTTTGTCTCGTGCTCTGAAACCTGCTCCCTTGGTCTCCTCCCTTTGTCTCGTGCTCTGGAACCTGCTCCCTTGGTCTCCTCCCTTTGTCTCGTGCTCTCTCCCCACCATCCTCATCTGCTCACTTCATCTCTTGCTCTCTAGCCGCCCCAACCTCCTCTTCTCCTCTTCACCTTGTCCAGCTCTGAAACCTGCTCCCTTGCTCTCCTCTTCTGTTGTGTTCCCACCGTCCCCATCTTTATGCGTCATCTCTTGCTCCCAAGCCTCCCCCCCCCCCCCCCCCCAACCCCCCGAATTCCTCTTGTCCGCTCCCCCCCCATTTTTTTATTCGTTTCCTCTCTTGGTCTCCACTCACCAAGGCATTTCCTGTCTTTCCCTCCCTCCTTACATCCCCTATCCAAGTCATTTCCCACCCCTGCGACGATTTTTTTAGGCGCCTCAAAAAAATATGAGGCGCTTCAAAAATCTTTTCCTCTCAGCCTTTCTTTGTCTTTCCGCCCCTCCTAGCATTCCCTATCCAAGTCATCCTCCACCCCTGCGTTTTCTTCCTCTTCCGCTCTTTGATATTTCTCCCTAATTCCTCTGAAGTTTTTTACCCTAATTCCTCCCCTAAATCTCCTTCCTAATTCCGCTTCCTTATCTCTCTCCCCAATCTTCTCCTCTCGATCCGCCTTCTCCATTTACGTCCCCTTTACAAGAAATTCCCTGCCCGGTGCCCCTCCCTTCCCTTCGTCTCCCTTTTCCCTTTCCTTCCTCACCCTTTTCCCTTCCCTTCTTTTCCTTCCTCCCCGCTACGGCAAGGTCAGTTGAAACATCCTGAGCGTCAGTGGCAAGGCCAGCTGATACGCTACTTCTCTTGCGTCTGTGGGAAAGGCAGGCCATTTGCGGTTTTCCGAGCATTCAGTGCAGGTGCATTAGAACCAGGATTCGTGGCCACTACCAGCAGCAGTACCAGCAAGCAGAACCAGGATTCTTGGCCACGCAAGCAGGTGGACAGTGCGGCAGGTCGACAGCGCGGCGGGTCGACAGCGCATAGACACAGACAGGTAGAAAGGACAAGCGGAAAGGCACTCAAGGGGAGCAGGACAACAGACACGCCGGGTACAATTGGAGAGTGGACCATAGTAGCAGCGGAGCAGGCATGTCGAAGGGTCTAGATACGGTGCACCGGGTGGTGGTGGGGTCTCTGGGGCTCGCCACCCTCGTTCTCGGCACATCTGCTTTACTCAACGCTGGCAGCGCACTGAGCTGGCACTGGAGCAAGGTGAGCTGGAATTGGGATAATGTGAGGTGACATCTGTCTGACGTGTGTTGCAAGTGCCTCCTTGAAAGTGACGTCTTCTTGTTTAGCTGAATCTCTTTCACTCCTGTTCGTGCATTTTGTTTTTCGTCAGATAGAGTTAGGTAATTAGTCAACAACAGCACGACTGATCACGATACACACACAATCATAGGCATGATTGTCCCGTTAATCTGTGCTGAAGCTGTATTGTTGCACGTCAACTAAGCACTTATAGTCATGTTGTTGTGTTGTTGATCTGCGGGGAGTCATTTTTCTCTTGTTTGTTTATATTCCTTTACTGGGTTTCCAAGGTTCATGGTTTGTATTCCCAATGGTGTTTTTTACCTCGTTCTCTTATATGATTATGTTCTTGTTCTTTTTTCGTGGCAGGACAAGCGTGCCAGTGAGAGCAATGCACCGCCCCAAACTGACGCAGCATCATCCGAATGAAGCAATGTTGATTGCGACATCAATGGGCTGGCTGTTAGAAGAGTGCCAGCGGCATTAGGAGACAATCAAGCAGTCCATTCCAGTGTAGACACTTGGTGGCTGGTTCCGTAGATCATGCCTTGCTTGGTGGTTTTTTTTTTCGACTGACCAATTTAACATTGTCAAAGAGGGACAACGCTGTTTCATGTGTACATTAGGCTTGTGCGCTCAATATGCTTGTCATCACAAGTTCACCTTTCATCCTTAGTAACTACAGGTACTTTTTGGTGATATGGCCAAGTACTTACAGAGTTGCATGTATATAGTTCGAGACTCAGTATCTACTAAAATTTATTGCTACACGTGATCACAACATGGAACGAGCCCCACTTTGACGGGGTTACCGTGTGTGACGACGATGAACGGCTGAGGTGAGGATGAGAGTAGAGACCCATCGTCGACCCTCCGTCGCCGTCACCTCATGGCCGACAGCCTGTTCGCTGGCCCGATGTCAAAAGAGAACAAACGTGCAAACGGCGACACGGCAGGCAGGTGCGTCACCTCACCACTCCAGCACCTACAGTAACCACCCCAGCCAGATCACAGGTGCATGGCCCTTGCTGGTCTCCGCGACAGAGCTCCCGCAACTTCGTGATTGCTCCGCTATGCAGGCGAGAGTGGTTCGGGCAGGTGTGTTCGTATTCAGTACTTCGAAATTTTCCTCTAAGCGTTTTACTTTCCGTTTGGAAAGTTGTTATTTTTGCAGATTGTAGACACCATCAGTATGTAGTTTAACATTGAAAATCACACCCGAACACTACTAAGAAAAAAAAGAGTACACGCCAGATCAGGTTGCACGCTCTGTGTAAAGAAACATGTATGTTTCTTACATACCAATAGAAAATACACTAAGTTGAGTATTGCCTGCCCAGCCAGACGACTTTGTGACAATTTTTTGCAACAGTTCGAATGGCTGGGAGTAAATCTCTCGAAGTGAAGATGGGTTTTGGCGGTTCCGTGGTCGGTACGCACTGTAGCGTGGCGGAACACTGCAGGGACACACCGTCATCACAAACACGGTGCTCCTGATCCACCGACAAACCGCCTCTCGCGGACGAAGCCCCAACGAGAAACAATGCCCCGCTGGAGGGGCGGAGCGGCCCTCTCCCCATCCACCCCCACTGCTCCCACTTTGGCCCTTGACCGTCCACCACACCACACAGCTGTAGGGGCGGAACGGCCTCCAAAACCCCGCAGGATTCTCGTCCCCAAAGCGAGCCCTATTTCTCGAATTTGAGTTTCCTGATTCCCCAACCACGCTGACCATACAGCCCGCGCGGCCCTTGACTGCAGCGAATCCATTTTCCCTTTCCCCCACCGTCTCCTTGCCCCAATCTCTCAACCTCCAAGTTAGCGCCAGCCAAACTACGGGCACCAACATCGGGCAGGTGCGCCTGCAAAATCGCGCGCGTTCTGGTTGTCGTTACTGTACCATCCCGGGTGGCGTTCCCCCGAACCGGGCTCTTTGCTTGCGCCACCCGCTAATGCGCGCGTTGACGTTCCCGTGGCTTGAGGCAAGGTGAAACCTCAGAAGAAAATGGTGGAATGAAGGGAGCTCATTTTCCAACCAGCCAGTCAGCGCTAACTCATTTTCCCAACCAGCCAGTCAGCGCGGCTACACGTATTTCGTATTTTCACCTGACTCCGATCAAATTCTTTCAGTTTCTCGGCTTTCACCCCTTTTGATGTTCCCTCTCTCCGTACTCCTCCTGCCCTCCCGAACCCTCACCTCTCCTCCCTCTCCTCCGCATCACCTCCATCTGAATCCGGGCAGTTCTCTTCTCTTCCTCGTTGACCTTGCCGAGCCGAGACACCCACCCACCCATCCAAGACACCCACCCACCCATCCACTTCACTGCGGATATCACAAGGCCCTTAAAACCGGGGTGCACATTCAGCTGAATGTGCATCAAAGGTTATCCCTTGACTGAGTGGGTTACGAGGTGTGCTTTCAACCCCTTCAAGTCAGAAATTCGTTTCCCCCCTCCCCCGCAATTTCGTTTCCCCACGCCCCCGCAATTTCATTTCCCCCTCCCCGTCGAAATTCGTTTCCCCCCTCCCCCGCAATTTTGTTTCCCCCCTCCCCTGCAATTTCGTTTCCCCCCCCTCCCGCCAATCTGTTTCATCCCTCCCGCCATTCGGTTTCACCCACTCCCGCCATTTCACCCCCTCCCGCCACCTACGAAATGCCCGAAGCTCTAGCGGAATCATTTTTTTGTCGCCCCTCGTGAGCCAATCACTGTTTTTCTCCAAACCCCCTTCCCAACATCAAAGCCGAACCGCGTTGAATTTGCACCCTGGTTTTAAAGCCAGGATCTCAAGTGGTTTGGCTGTTTTGCAGTTAGTGAACTGTGTTAGGCTGTGATTGGTTGACGAGGTAGAGTAGTTGACGAGAGCTGAAACGAGGGATGCGAAGCAAACAAAAATCGCAGTGAACTTCCGAACCAACTAGGCACGGAAATCTGGTTGGGTTCCGAAGCTCATTTCCCAGCAATGTGTCTCACTTGCCGAAAAATCTCATGTACAGCAATTTGTTTTGCAATTGAGATTCACGGGCAAATCGGGGATCAGTCGCACACTGAACCTCCAAGCCAACCACTCGATTTCGCCTAAACAAACAGGGTGACTCGAGCTGCAAGTGTTTTGCAATTGAAGCCAATTTCTCTTACTTGAGATCCCCGTTTCCCACACGCTTGAGGTAGCTCCTCCGCAACTCCTGTTTCCGCGTTTTCTGCAGGAGGGAGGGAGACACGGTCCCATAACCCTCAACTGAAACGGCCGTCTCACCAGCTCTATTTCACAGCCACTAATTCTCTCAGCAACTAGTTCTTTCAGGCGATAGTTATTGGCTCAGTGTAGTACAGATAATCCCATTGAAGGGTTCAGGAACCTGTCTCAGAACGTCTGTCAACAAGTAGAGACAGGAATATGATGGCCTTTCTAGACTAATATGATCGCTCTAGGTTTTAGTATTCTCAACCTGCTCTCGTGTTCTGCCCGCACCCGTGAAAAATCTGCTAGGCTCATTGGTAGTTGGCCTTTTCCTACAAAGTACCCTTCTACACGCAAGCCGGTGCCACACAGTTCATAAAAACTGCGAACGCAGCGCCCTTGTTCTAGGTAGTTTCTGCTCATTGCGGCTGCCACAAACGAGTACATAGTGTTTACACGAGCGGCACGATGCACAAGAATCAGCTCCAGGAGCTCGCGCAGCGCAGCGGGTACAACCTCCCGTCGTACGCGTGCATACGCGAGGGCCCGGACCACGCGCCCAAGTTTAAAGCCACCGCCACGTTTAACGGCGAGACCTTCGACAGCCCGGGCTACTTCTCGTCGCTCCGGCAGGCGGAACACGCGGCGGCGGAGGTCGCGCTGCGCGTCATGTCGGAGCGAAGCCCGTCGCAATGCATCGCGAAGATCCTCGACGAATCCGGCGTGTGCAAAAATCTGCTCCAGGAAACCGCACAACGAGCCGGCGTGCCGCTGCCGGGGTACAATACGGTTCGATCCGGTCCGGGGCATCTGCCGGTGTTCACGTGCACGGTGGAGGTAGCAGGGTTGCAGTTTACGGGGGAGCCTTCGCGGACGAAGAAGCAGGCTGAGAAGAACGCGGCGCTTGCGGCGTGGACTGCGCTGAAACGATGTAAGCTTACTTATTATATCTCTGCCCGCCATACCTTTCTGGTTTTTTTTTTTTTTTTTTTGCATCTCCTCTGTCTCCATACAAATAATCATGCTTTTTGAATGTCAGAAACTCCGTGTTTTATCGCTTTTCTCAACGCCGGTCGTATCTGGATTGCTCTCTTGTCTCTTTTCAGATGCGGGTCGCAACTACACTGCTGTGATCGAAGACCTCGACGTTACGGACGAACAGGAGCAGACCGCTATCGCGCGCGCTCTCTCTAACGCGTACAACGCCAGCGCGATCAAATCGAGCCCCGCGGTGCTTGCGCCAGGCATGGATCTCGCCGCGCTCGCCGGCTTCTACGTTCCAAACGGCTGCCCCGCGCCCAAGGGCATGGCTTCCGCTCCTCTTTACGCGCGCAACCGGACTTCCGCCCTCCCCCCGCAGGGGGGCTCTCCGCTGCAGGCCGGCGCTCCGCTCTACGTTCCGCGCCATGTTGGCGCGGGAATGGCTGGGGTTCGAATCCGCGAGGTTACGGTTCGCGAGATGAGCGCGGAGCAGCAGCATATGCTTGTACCAGAGGATTCGGTAATGAGTAACTCGATGATGAATAACTACGGCGCGATGATGCTATCGCAGCAGCTGGCGCAGTTTCCACGAATGACGCAGTCCAGTCCGATGGTTGACCCCGCGCCAACCGCCGCAGCTGCCGGTGGCGCGCCCGCTTACGTCCGCCGAACCGCGCCCGCCATCGGCGCCGCCGCCGGTGCTGGTGGGATCGGCGCTGGCCGCTACGTCGGCGCAAGCGTTCCGAATTTCCCGACCCAGCAGCTTCTGTCGCAGGCTGTTCCGAACCTGCCAGGTTTGGGTCTTCCACCGTCGGATCAGCACGCGTTGGCGGCTGGTGTTACCGGCGCCGGCGCTCAATCTCACCGGCCGTCTAATTTAAATTACAAGCCGGGCGCGGCCTACCAGCCACGAACTCTCCGCCCTATAGGCCAAGGAGTTTCCCCCGCTAGTATGCTGCCGGGTAGTATTGCAGGGTCTGGTGGGGAAGATGTTCTGGACGGGTTAGGGTTAGGAATTTCGGTTGGAGGTGAGGGGGAGAGCTGGGCGCGCGCGCGCACGCTGGGGTCGCCCGCGGAGATTTTGCGCAGCCCTGCGAGCAACGTGGAGGTCCCTGGTTCGTCGATGTGGACCCCGCGCTCGTCGCCCTTCTGGCCAACTTCCTCGGGCTCCGCTTCCACATCTCGCGCGCTGAGCAGGTCCGCATCTAGCACGAGCATGCGGGGAGGGGCTTCCGCCCTTGGCGGAATTGTGGGGGAGGAAGGGGGTT